CCAAAGACCAGAGGTTTCACCCCAATTATATGCTCTCACACAAAATCATACTGCACCACCTCTATGTCCCCTTAACATGCACCAAATATCTCAGCTAATGGAGAGAAGAGAGGGCGGGAGAGAAGCTGGCTTGCTAAATTCTCTTCAGATACAGATTCGTAAGTGTTTTGCTCTAGACCAAGAAGCTCAGGATCAGATGAGGGGCAGCTTTTTCTTGACTGGAGAGAAGTGGTATCTCTACACAGAAAGTCACATACATGTAGGCGTAACAGAGCATCCATCTTCCTAAAGAGAGAATAAGTATATAATCTTACGACTATTCTATTTGCTTGGATTTCTACTGTAATGAGCAAATACGGAATGGAAACTAACTTCTAAAAATTTTAGAAAGAACAGCTTACTTGGCTCTGAGAAACCGTGCTCACACACGGGGCTCTGTGACATCTTCCCAACCCAGTCAGCAAGCGTACCGCAGGCCTGAGGTCACTTTGTCACAGAGGGTAAGGAAGGTCTCACTGAGGGGAGTTTGGCTTTTTTTCTCCCAACTATGGTGTCTTTAAGCCACAGACTAAGCCTGTAACCCTTTTATTTTGATGTAATAGTGTATTTTTTTTTTTGCCAAAGTGAACTTCTTCTTAAAAGATTTGTCTCATGAAGTTAAATTTGTACTTTCTCCTTAGATTCTTAAGCCAACACAGAGATTAAAATGTGACATAAACTTATACACAAGCTATTTTTCAGCAAGATTAAGACGTTTTATTTAAAGGAGCATTTCAAGAGAGTTAGGATGCAAGTTTAAAAATGAGGCGAGCAATCATCAGAAACATAGAAAGCAACTTTCATAAAAGAAATAAATAAAAGGCCAGGCTAAATTTTCCTTGAATACTTCTTTGATATGGATATTTCCATGACTGAGGAGCTTTTTCAAAATGTTGGTCTGCCTGGAGGTGATCACTGTGAGCATCAGTCATCACCACATGGGCAAATAATTCTGGCAAATCCACTGTTAGATGAAGAGTGTCTAACCCCCTCTAGGGTGTGCTTCTGTTTTCAAAGGCTTTGGTGTTGTACTGCTGTGCTGAATTTTACTGGACGTGAAAGAATTTGCACGGAAATTCCATAGTAGCCCTACAGTGCCGGGCAGGTGACTCAGCCAATCCCTGCTTTAGTTTTTCAGCAGGACAGTGTTACATACTCCACCCGCTACTAACAGGCACAAAAAGACAAATATATATAAAGTCCTCTGACACTCTGTGCTTAAAGGTATGGGCAGGTGTGTGTGCACGTCATACCCACATACACATATGTACATAAAATACACACATATGAGGCACAAATGGTAAATAAATAATATGTCTTCGGGAGTCAAGGGCGTAGATCAGGGGTTGTTTATATTTATGATTTAGTATCTATGATCCATGAAGAGATAAGGAGAAGATGTGTGAACCCCTTGATATTTATTTTGTGCTTGTGCATTTTCTAGGAAGAAAACCCTTTGTTATTGTTGTATGTTTTCATCCCAGGGAGTCCCTGACCTTGGAATGATTATGCCCCACCAGTGCAGAGAGAGGACAGTTAGACTGCTCCCAGACTGTCCTCTGCCCCCAATTCAGAACGTCCCAAAAGTGGCAACCTAGCCAATCTCCCCAGTGCAAACACACAAGGTTCCAGTTAGAGGAAAACTGGGGCTGGGAAGAGGGCATAGGAAACAGTGGAAAAGAGATTTGGGGATTTTATATTTAAAAATGAAACAAATTTTGGAAAATGCACATGTACATTATTTTTAATAAAATTTAGATTACAATGTCAATAACTCATTAGTTCTTTTTTTTCAGTACTGGGAATCGAACTCAGGACCTTGCCCTTGCCAGGCAGGTACTTGTGCCGCTGGGCTATATCCCCAGCCCCAACTCACTAGTTCTATAAAGAACAAAGTGTTGATTTACTTGGCCCATTATTTCCCAGCCAGGCTGTATGAAGGCGTGATGTGAGAGCCTTCACCTCCAACAGTGCAGTCATCAAATAGGTGACTTTTGCAATAACATTGAGACGTACCATTTTCTCAAAGACCTATCAGAAGCCTTTCACTCATTCTGAAGTCTGAGGGCTGTCAACGTGCTTGTTAACTTTTTCACTTTTTAACTGCTAACAAGGTATCTTCATTGGCGAATGACTTTGTGCGTGACACAAACCTGGTTTCCAACATCCTTTCCATCAGTTCAATAAAACCGTGCATCTGTTGAAGAAGTTACTACTTCATTTTGCAAGTGTTGTGCAGTCTATTTTCCCTGTGTTTCAGGATGTTGGAAATATCCAGATAATGCAGGAAGAAAAACATATGGACAAAGACCTGATTCCACATTGTGGTAGGCTCAGCCTTAAATGGGGAAGGGTGTCTGAGCAGGGCTAATTTAATCAGTGGTCAATTGGTGTGTGGCTTTCTTAATTTTAAGACAACTTTGGCTTTCCTACAGTCTCTTAACTACCAGCCCTAGAGCATAAATTTTTGAATGAGGAGAACCCAGGGGGAACCCTGTGCACTTGTACACACTGGTACTGACCAGGGCCGCCAGGAGAGGAGGACCATCTCACATCCTTCTCCCATAGAGCCCTGTTGTGTGTGGTGCTAGCGAGGAGGAAAGAATAAATTTCAGGCAAGTGTAGGTTAAAGAAGCCCTTGAGGATCAGTCCATGGAGTCCACCTGTTATGGTTTATGTCTGTGTGTCCCCTCCAAAGCCTCATGCGACCACGGGCAGGCTTTTAGAGTTTGATTATTATGGGTATGAGAGCTACACCCACCCTGGGGTGGATAGTTTGCATATGTAAGGGAGAGGAAAAGGGTGCTTGAGGACATTCCTCGGCCATTCCGCCCTGGTGTGTGCTTTCGGCTTAGCTGTGTTCTGCTGCCCTGAGCTAGCTCTCTGCCATGTGCCACTCTGCCTTATAATCTGCCAAGTACGGACTAAAACTTCCACAAACTGTAAGCGAAATAAACCTTTCCTTCTTTAATTTTGGGCGTCAGGTATTTTGTCCCAGCAATGAGAAAAAAGTAACCAAGACACCACCATAGTGGAAAATGAGGCCCACATTCCAAACCAACTTCACAATACCCCAATTCCCCCTTTTTTAACAACAACCCATTTTTACATAGGGGGTTGCTTATTTCACAGTTCTGTAATGGTGAATTTTTGCTTATTGTGTTTCTGGGTAACAAGGTGCGCCTGTGTTTCTTGCTTGCATATCAGTTTGCAGAAAGTAATTGCCCTGCAATTCTTAATCCAACCTGTTCACCCCTTCCTTTCTGCATTGCTCCAGTTTGTCGTGTCTGAGCTGCTGCCTAAGAGCTGATCTTTTTCTGCTAAAATTCACTCAACAAGCATCTTTGTCCTTCAAGGTGTTTGGTGCAATGCTACGCTGTTTGGAGTGAGCTAGGAAAACATTTACAGAGCGTCTTTCCCCAAGTACTCTTGTGTTACTTCCCAAGGAAAAATCTGTTTATAAAATAAAATGGTGGAATTTAGACTCGTGACGATTTGGGTGATGTTGCCGGTGAGTTTGTCACTTTGTAAATACAACCTAAAGAACAATAATGTCAGCGTCGGTTCCTTGTTATGTGACACGCACTGTGTCACGCGTTTCATACGCACCATCTGTTTTAATCCTTATGCTAACATCCCTCTAGGGGATTTTCCCGCCAGTAGAAAGCAAGGACAAGGAATTTACTTTTTGGTTCATTGCTGCATCCCTGGTGTCTGGAACAATGCCTGGAGAAGAGTAGGTAGGTACCTGTTATGGTTGACACATTGTGTCATACTTGAGGAGTCTAAAAGCTTAAAGAAATAACTCAGCAGTTGTATGTCCTGGGGTGAAAAGGCCATGTCCTTTCTGCTCTAGGAAGTTGTTCATTGTGAGCTAAATAAACCTTTCCTTCCTTAATCTGAGTGTTGGGTATTTTGTCTCAGCAACTAAAAGAAAATAACTAAGAAAGTACCCCACAAACATTTTTTGAATAATGAATGAATACTCACCTTACAGATGGAGAAGCTGAGATGCTAGGATTAGAAGCAACTTGTTTAAGATCACAGAGATAATAAGCAAAAAATTAGATTTCAGATAAAATCAAAGACAAAACCTACAATCTTAAAAGATCTATTCCCTAGTCCGTATAATACACACACACACACACACACACACACACACACACACACACACACACACACACACACGCCTTCCCCAGAGTTCTGCCTGGGGCTGGGACATCTGCTCCCTTAGCTCACCACTAGCCAACGGCTGAAGATACATTTTTGTTACCTCTCTGCCTGTTTAACCTGTCCTCTTCCTGTGAAAATCCCCTTGGGCCTTCCTGTGGGCCGTCCTCACAGTACTTGGTGACTTCCCTGGCCTGATCCCCTCCTGCGCAAGCCTCACCCTGGGGAACTGTTAATTATAACCACTGCAATGTCTACACCCGGCTGGCCAGGAGAGGCAGTTTGGCAGCAGCTGCAAAAGCTGAATGAAGTTATTTGGGGATTAATCCTCTGCTGAATGTAGTCTTACAAGTACAGCTTTGGAGTGGGGGGAGATAAAAGGAGGTAATGCTGTTGGTATAAATGTGAACTTACACGTAACACACACAGGCACACCCATATGTATACTGACTGAAAGTTAAAATATGATTATCAAAGGATGAGGAGGTCTTACCGCTATAATGTAAAACATTAAGAAATACGTCGTAGCCTTCTGAGCTCTGCAGGGCTGTGAGTGTGCTCTGAGCCAAGCAGAGTTAAAAAAAGAGAGAGCAAATTGAAATATCTTTAGGTAGACTTAAATATAGCTTCAGAGATTATAATTCAGATCAAGGCTGGAGCTCCATTTCAACATTCCTTAACTGCTAGTAACATAACAAAGGCCTGCAAATTGGGAGGTACTTTGCCTGGGAAGGGGTGCTTATCAGATCTCAGCCCATCTTTCTTCATGTTGCAATCTCAGAGCAGCTGCCCTCTTCTTGGTGAGAAGCGCCGCAGCCAAGGCACAAAACCCAGCGGGCCAAGGGGGTGACTGCGGCCAGGCAGAGGCTGTTTGCCGTGCAGAAAGCACAGGTAGGTAAAGGAGGTGCGTGTTGTTAGGGGCTGGGGTCGGGCAGCTGCTAGGGCCCACGGTAAGACGGTGTGATAGAGAAAGCCAAGAAGGCCAGGGCTCACAAGATGTGCATGCCCACCCCCTCGGGCCAGGTGAGCTTCCTAAAGCTGAGGAGTTGTTCCAGCACTCTGGAAGGCTGAGGCAGGAGGGTTCCAGGTTTGAGCCCAATGTGGGCATTTTAGTAAGAACCCGGTCTGTCTCAAAAAATATGAAACAAGGGGTAATGATGTGGTTCAGTGCGCTGAGATTCAATGGTGAATCTCCACTTCAGCCTTGTCTCACAGACCAGCTCCCTGAGAGATCCTGAGGGGCTCAGGTTCTATAAGATGAAAGGTCCTCAGGCATTCCCTCTTCCTGACAGTGCTCACTGGCATATTAAAGGCTCTGAGAAGTTCTGCAAGAGAAAAATCTGTTTTACTTGCTTAGTTCAAAATGATCTCACTCTGGAATAAGGCCTCTACTCCAGTCCTCTCATTTTATAAGTAAGGAAATGCAGGTCCAGAGGAAAGAAGACGGGACTTATGCAAGGCCACACACCAGGTCAGGAGCAAAGCTGAGCCCGATTTCAGCTCTGCTGCACAGCTCTTTGCCTTCGTCCTCATTTCTGCCCTGGAGCCGGGGCACTCCTGTCATGTGCCACCGCTGCTTGGACTAGGTGGTGACAATGCTGACAATTCTGTCAAGCAGAAGTCACTCAAGGTGACTGCCTTTAACACACTACTAAAAACAAACCGTAAAACCCCTCTCTGAAATGTCTGATGGGGAACAGATTTCCAGCCCAAGCCACTGGAAGACATGCAGGTGCGCGCCGAGGTGCAGGGGGAGACAAGGGGGGCGGGGCTCGGCACCCGGGCCTGAATCTGGCCTCCTTCGCTGGTCACTGCATTTTCATGTCCACCCCGAATTTCCTCACTGTGAAAAAAAAAAGGATTGTGTTTTCTCTCAGATCTGCCTACTTGTGATCCCAAAGACGAAAGGCTTGCTGGAACTCAGGCTGGCCATCGGGTGTTCTAGAGAGCCCAAATCCACTCCTAAAACATGCACTTCTTCCTGGTGATTTTTAAAGCTTCTCCACCTCTTCTTTCATGTACCCTGGCAACTTTCTGCTCGAACTCCTCCCCAGCTCCCTACTTCTCCTCGAAGATCATTCGGTGTGTTCACTGTCGCCGGTAGACCCGTGTGACTCAGCCACGGCTGCCTCTCCCGTTTTATCTCCTGGTCTTTCCCCTCATCTTCCTGGGTCACCAGCACCCTGGCCTGCTTTGCTCGGGCCCCCTCTCTGCCCAGGTAGCACCTTCTCATATCAGTCACACAAAACGTTTTGTCTGAAGCGGTATCCGCAGCCTTGGTCTTTTCCACCTGGTTTTCTGTTTTGAACTTAGCACTATCACCTTGTTTGTTCATTCACCTGCTTAGTTTCCGACTCCTTCCAAGATGACGCTGCAAATTCACAAGGGCAGAGGATTACTTACTGCTCTGTGTAAACTGTTTGTTTCCTTGGCACAAAGCCTGGCAAGAAGCAGATGCTTAGTAAATTTCAATTAAATGAGTGAATGAATGAATCTCTGCTAGCAGCAAGTCTGCTTACCTTTCAAGACTCAGGTTGAATAAAGCCCTTCCTGAGGCGCCAGGACAGAACTGAAACACAATCCCCTTTGTACTGTGGTAGACTTTTTCATCTGCCTCTTAGAGGACATCATAGCAATTCTGTTTTGACTGCTTTGAGGACAGAGACCTTGTGTGCCATTCTGTGAGTCCTAGCTCTTTGCTGGAGACCGGCCCTCGGCAGGTCCTCCACAGTGCTTAGAGAATGAACTGCTCTTGTAGACCAAGAACAGCTCTGGATTCACACAATCAGGAATGTGCTTCCTCTCCAGGACAATCAGCTATTCCAGTTTTCAAGCTGGTATTTAAGTTGTTTACATCTTCCTATCTATGTGTGTGCTCCAAGAGAAAGATAACTTGGAGGTGATACGATCGGTGGAATTTGCAGTTAGTGGAAGCCTTGTAGCTGGGGTTCTTGTCTCAGGTCTCAGCTGGGTGTTCTTAAACTGGTCTTTCTCTTCTTTCTGAACCATTGTCTTGTTAGTATATGAAAGGGTTGAAAAACTTGACATCTGAATACCCTCCTTGCTCTGACTTTGTGGCCCAGTCACCCATACTCTCCCTTTTATATCCCATACATGCGGCGTGGTAAGGAGCAAGTCTCATAATTATAGCCAAACAAGTATTTTGCCAAGGAAGCCTTCTGCTCAGAGAAACATGGAAGCATCCATTACTCTCTAATTAGTGTTTTAATTCAGAGTCAATCTGCCGTGCACAAGCTTGTGTCAAATTAAGGGATTTTCATATCTGTGGAAGATTCAGGACTTTTCACAGATTGCAAAAGAGTCGAAATTCTAGCAGCCCCAAACTCCATTGCATTTCATTTTACCTAGCCTTGCAGATTAGCTCCAAAGCCTGCTGGGTTGGCAAGCATTTCTGCTGGCCTGGAAAACCCCCTCAGTTCTTCCCACCCCTCCGAGGACTTCAGCAGCGCAGCAGCAAGGAGAGAAACCATTTTCCTTCCTGTGAGCACTGCACGGCCTGAGGCCTGCCTTCTTTCAGATTGTGTGGGCCTTTGCTAATTTGTGTGACAGCTTCAATGTAAATAGGACACATCTGCAGTAACCACTCCTTGTAAAGGGCAGTGCACTGTGTTTATTTATCATCTACAACTAGAAATCAGGTTCTGTTTCTGGTCTAGGACAGCTGATGGTTTGTGACAACCTTAGAGGCATTCTGTAATAATTTTCACTGACTGTGACTTTAACACTTCTTCTGCATTCATTTTATTTTCCATTTTTTTCCCAACAATGTGGGTGGGGAAAGTCAATGAATACCTGTGAAGGTGGCTACTCTTAGGTCAGGTCCTGTGGCACATGGACCTAGTGAGATGGCTGCTGTCCCCCTGCGATTACGCCCTCTATGTGCTTCTGCTAACTCTCCTTGCTGGGTAGGGCCTAAGTGCCTGGCCACTGCTTCTTGGGCATTCTCTCCCTGGTCCTCTTCACCAGCTAGGAAATGTGTGTCATCACTGTGCTTTGAAAAATGAGGAAACTGAGGCACCAAGACTGGGTACTGGAAGGTAAAACACTGACACCTCCACTCACAAACTTCATTCTTTCTACTATTTTGGTCATAAACAGAGTTGTACAAGAACTGAATCAAACTACATGGCTAGGTTTAATGTTGATCTTATGGGGAAATTTGATTAAGTGTTGTCCACTTTGGTTTGTGGCCAGATTTTGGAGAGAATTCAATTCGTGAACTGAGGTATCACTGTAATTAGTATCCAAGCCCACAGCTATGTTCATCACTCTCACAGTGCGGTGAACCTATAACACATGTGCCACAGCAGGCTGTATTCCTGAAAGCTCTCAGAGGTTTGACGTTGCTGATCTAGAACGTCTTGCAGGAGCCTCACACTTAGCTACCCAGGTGGGCTCTAGTCATGGAGCACGTACAAGTCTATAATGAAATCACAGCAGTGAGTAAAGGAACCCATTAAGAAAGATAAATCAAGTATAGAAGTGACAGTTTTAGTTGTATTCAGACAACTATCTGTTATTATGCTACACACGTGTACACACACACACACACACACACACAAATTTTTCACTGCTTACCATGGCATCCTGGGATGCAATCTGACAAGCTACCTTGTATTTTTTTTTTTTTTTTTTTTTTGGTACTGGGACTTGAATCCAGGGCCTTCACACTAGGCTGTATCCCAGGATTTTTATTTTTATTTTGAGATAGGATCTTGTTAAATTGCTCAGGCTTGTAATCCTCCTGCCTCAGCCTCACAGTGTGCTGGGATTATGCGGATGTGCCACCACACCTGGATGAAAATTTTAACAGATCATTGTAACCTATCAAAACTATACCACAAAGCAATGACACAAGTTGTACTGATGTAGAAAGATGTCCACAATATATGAAGTGTAAAACTGGGAGTTTCAGAATAATGTGCATAGCAAAAATTTAGATCTTAAGAAAGTGGTGTGTATGTGTATGTGTGTGTGCAAGCTTGGAGAATCTCTGTAAGGACACCGAGAGGGGGAGGTTTGCTGCAGGGGAACTTTTACATTCTCATTCATCCATCTACAGTCGAACTTTTTATAAGCATGTATTTTCAATTTAAAAGCAATAAAGATGACATTTAAAAATATTCCTAGCCAGCCGGCAAAGGCAGCCCAAGTCACCACTGATGAGCTCCACATAGTGATTTCTACCATTCACGGCACTCACTTCCTGGACCTCCTCCGGACTGCTCCCCTCCAGACCGCGAATGCCTGCTCCATCACAGGCTGGCTGCACCGCCCGAAATGTGCCACTGCCCACCATTTTTCTGTGCAGTTTTCAGCCATCCTGATCTCCCTTCTCTTCCTCCTCGTTTTTAGTTACATATTCCCACAGCTTTAGTGTCCAGGCAGGCCAGGATAGCTGGGAACAATCTGCACCCCAGAAAACCCTGCTGAACTTGGCACTGTCACTGAGAAAGGCTCGCTTCCACTGGGCTGGGAAGCAGCAGTCAAAAGGAGCACGCGGGTCTCAGCTCCTCTGCTAAGCGGTGCTCCGAGCCTGAGTCCTGTTCTGCCTCCGCCTGTCGAGCTGGCCACCCATGCTCAGTATGCACGCTGGCGAGCGGCACCGCCTCGAGTGCCCAGTGTTACGGAAGACGCTCTGCCTGGCCTACCAGCAGGACACACCTGCCAGTCCAATGGCTTTTCCCCCACACCCTGCTCTTCCCAAGCTTTGAGAATGTAGTTTGCAGTCTGATTTTCATACTGCAGGGCTGAAGTCTCAAGGACACATCTGGACAAAATATGCTTTCCATATAGGCCAACCACGTATTTATTTATTTATTGCTTATGACATTGTATTTGGCAGTTCGGGAGATATAAAACAACGCGAAGCACTTTGCGGCAAACGGGCACAGGGCTGCCACTGGAGACCCCGGTGGAAGATAATGACAGCCAAAGGAGTCACAAATCCTTCTGTGATTGACAGGCAGCACTCTGAGAGGCAAGAGCAGTGAGCTGGTTTTCCTGTGAAGAGCTCACATGTCTTCATGCCTCAGCTCCGGCTTGGGCACAACAAGGAGACAAGAGGCATAAGTTGGAAACCTCATCTGACAGGACAAATAAATCCAGTGTGAGTACTTCTGCGACCCACTGTAATTGCTGGGGTGGGGTGGATGTTCTCATTCTGCTTCCTTCTTTCCCCACTCCTGAGACTGTAGGTGCCTGGTCTCCAGCCTGTCATGCTTGGCCACTACTTTCAACCCAACCTCTAGCTACCCATCCTCACCTGCCTTTATATGAGGGGCTCTCTGGCTTCTGGAGCTCATGCCACATGGACTTATAGCAGGGGAGGAGTGGGGTATGGACTAGCGGGCAGCACTCAACCTGTGATTACCAGCAGTATGGATTCCCATGCCGCAGAGGTAGATGATGCTACTCTCCCCCAAATGCTTGGGGTACACCCTCATCACTGGACCTGCTTTTGAGGCATCCCAGATCCAGGTACTTAGTACCCCAGTCTAGCACAACGTTTAAAACAGATATCACAAGTTAAAGCACCAATGAGTGTTTCCGGATAAAGTCACACAAAATTGCACAGTATTAAAAAAAATTCAAATCAGTTGTTATCCTGTAAAAAATGGGAGATTTCACAGACAAATCGAGATTTTTGGCTTTTATTGAAAAATGCACAGATAAGGCTGAGCTGGGCCTGAATTCCCTTATGGCATGTGAGGCTGGAGCTGACTGTGGTGCTTTTGGCAAGCCCAGCTCATCCTACCTGGGACACTCATTAGCATTCCCAGGCTAGCGAGACCTTGAGGCCACCTGGGCTGACTAGTCTACCTGTAACACTACGGTGGATTGACAACGGTGGTCAACTTGTGACACCCAGCTGAAACTAACCAGCGTGGTGCTGGGTGTGGGAGGCCCACCTGAGGGTTCCTGCCAGCAGCATAACAGACCGAACTGAGAACAGGAGCTCTGGGTGCTGTTAAAAGCTGCAAGGAGCTGTTGGTTCTCTTGGAGGAGCTTGGCATGCTGGCTTTCTTGATGAACTCGGCTGTTATCATCTGAGGAGCTTGGGACCTTGTTGTCGCTGAGAATGGCTATGGTTCACTTTGGGAGAGCTCTGGTCCTCACTTTGAGCGTCACTTCCTGGCTCCAGAGGGGAGGATGGTGCACTGCTCAGTCTCGTGGAGAAGCTTGTCTTATTGGCTTTCCTGATGGGAACTTGGTTGTCATCAGGGGAGCTCAGGACCTCACTGTGGCTGATGGTGGCTGTGGTATTTTTGGGTGAGCTCTGGTTTTTACTTGGAGTATTGCTTCCTGGTTCCAGTGCAGATCCCTCAGCCTGCTGGCACAGATCCTTCATCCCACTGGCATAGACTTTCTAGTTTCCACCACTGGCCTTTGAGCCTTCCCAGCACAGATCTGTGAAACAGGCCTGCATGAGACATTGTCATGGGCTCTGGGCCTCCAGCTGGACTTGTGAGAGGCACCGTTATGGGCTCTAGGTCTCCAGCTGGACTCATGCAGGACATTATCATGGGATCCAGGCCCTCAGCTAGATTCTTTGGTCTTAGTGTGTGGACAGATGTCCTGAACTCTCTTTTGTATATGACTCTTTGGCTGACTATTATAAATAATCTTATAAAGTGTGTGTCCTGTGTTGTATTGTTCACCTTGCAAAACCCCAAACTATGACAAAGACCAAGTGCTCTCCTTCTTCAAGATGTCCTGCTTCCTGAGGACCTGTGTCACTGTATGGAATATTCAGCCTGGACCACACATAGAAAAGCATCTGGGCAGAGGGTGGTGCTCTGCCAGAGAAGCCACAATGTCAGCATCAATAAACTTTCTCTCAGCTGAGTGCAACTGTGTCAGGTATCCTGCTAAACCTCTGCATTCTTTTTGCTTTCCTTTCGGGTCTTATAGCCACTCCTTAAGATACTTTTGTTATTATTCCCACATTTTACACGAGGAAACTGGGCCTTAGAGATTTGGAAAATGTGCCAATGTACTGTAGCTCATAATGGTAAAGTTAGGACTCAGGTTCAAGTTCATTTAACTCTCCAAAAGAGCAGCTTCCAAAGCAGTGACCCAGTGTAGTTAATACTGCAAATCAGGACATCTTACTGGAAAACACTTACAGGTATATGGGCCCAACGATTCGCCAGCTTCCAACCAAGCCAGTCTCTCTTGTAGGAACTCATGAAGGAAGCTTGTTAAGATTCTGATAGCCAGTTTAATTTACAATGACTAAATCTTTGCCAATGAATTTGGAATGTCTGCATGTAGCAAGTGCAGTCCTCTTCCTACAGACACACCCTCTAGTGGGGCAGAGGCTTGGGAATGGCTTAGAAGGAGAGCAGGAGCTGTCATGATGAACAGGAGACGAGCATCCTCCAAATTAGGGGTGTGGAATGAAGCAGGTATTTGAGGGCATCGCGCTAAGAAGCCAGTGCCCTCGTCCATAGTGGTGTGGTGGCTTTCGTCACGGTGGCTTTCTTGGGAAGAGAGACAGCTGGGTTCTGTGGCCCTGCCTGTTCACTCAGCTCCCCGCAGGGTCAGTATGGTCATCAGCAAAATCTCCTGGGGAGGGTTTCTATTTTTTGGGTGGCACTAGGAAGCACAGGCGCAGATGCTTCCTTTCCACCCTCTGGCTCGCTGCGTCCTTGGCTGGCTGACACTTCTGAAGCACCTTTTTATTTTCAAACTTTCTTTCTTCTTGTCAATATGTTCAGGCAGCCATAATGAGCACGGATGGCTGGGAGCCATGCTCGTTCTTTAGGGCAGCTTGGAAAATCTTTTCTCTGATCCATTCCATTTTGCTTTCATGAGTATGCAATCTTACTCCAAGGTCTTGGGGTGGGACACGGAAACCTCATCTGCCCTGCTATACTTAGTGCTTCCTCTAAGCCTCCCTGACCAGAGGGTACGGTCTGAATCTGAAATGTCGCCCGGAAGCACATCTGTTGAAGGTTTGATCCCTCTCACAACAGTGTGCAGAGGTTTGAGAGGTGATCAGATGGTGGCAATTCTAACCTCATAATCTTTAATGGCTTATTAAGAGCTGTGACCTAGTTGGAAGAAGTGGGACATTGGGAGCATACCTCTCAAGGATGTATTTTGTCCTCAGCCCACTGTGGCCCCTGGTACCCCAAACTTCATTATGCCCCCTTCCAGTTACACAGAGTGTCACTTCTTATTCCAAACAGTTCTAACCCAAGGTCTCAGAAGCAAGACTCACTGGTCAAGCCTGGTCACATGTGCATCCCTGCACCAATCACCACGGTCCTAGGGACAGTACCTTCTCAGTGATCCAGTATAGGGAAGTGCCCTCTGATTGACTGGTCTAAGTCACGTGCTCATACCTGACCCAGTGCTTGCCAACAGGTAACTTGAGAACTGCAGAAACGGAACAGAATTGCTTAAAGGAAATCTGACCGCCGGTATCCAAAGAGGGTGAGCTAGACGATAATAGCCAGGCCAAAGCAGTAGATAGCTAGGTACCCATGTTAGGTACTGAATGTATTTTATACACTTGCTCATGAACGTCTCCCTACTCTTGTTACAGAACTAAGTAACAAAAAGATGACTGAGGGACCTTCGCCACATACATGGGCCTGAGGAACCCTGACCCGTCAGCCTGTGATGGGGCCTAGCCACAGAGTCCCAGCAGACACCAGCGTTTAACCAAGCAGGTGCTATCAAGTCCTTGGCCTGCTAGCTTCAGCTGACTAGCAGCTCTGATACGACCTGTGAAGGCCAAGAGTTAGGACACCTGTCAAGACATCACTGAGCATTGCAACACACAGAACGGGCAGGTTACAGCTGCAGTGACCCTTCCCCAGGCCCACAGAGCAACTTGCACCTGCCACTTTCAATGGGCCATCATACTTCTTCGTAGAAAACAAGCACACGGGAAAGAAAGCATGTGTTTGAAACTCTATCTGTTTTCCTGTTGTATCAAGGGGTTGGGCTTTGTTTTCGTGAAAGCTTTTGTTCTTCTGTCAGCATATTCAAAACAACACAGGGGAGATACTCGCTTTGAAATCCCCTAGAAGCTGTCCACAGAACTGCTCTTGGCTGTCTGTGCGGCACGAGAATGACTTGCTTCCTGGTGGACACCTGCTTGGGCGTTTCACAAATCACAACTGATAATTCTACCTGGTTTCTGTTGACTGCGGGTTGGGCCTGTCATCCCAGGAGGATATCTGGATGACGATCTGACCAAGTCACACCTGCCCAGCATCCTGCAGCTCCTTCCCTCTCCCTTACCCCATGACCAGCTCTCACCGGCTTGCTTTCACAGATATCTCTGGGGTCCGTATTTTTCTCTGGCCCAAATTTCATCCTTCTTCCGTACACCACTACCTCCTGGTGTGCCAATGGTCTCCTACTTCTACTCGCCCTTTCATCATTCTTTGACTCTTGCACTTTCTAAAGCACCCACATCTATCCACGTCACTGCTCGGCTTTTTCCATCAATGGTTTCTATTTTTTTTTTTTTAAATAATAAATTCAACCTCCTCAGGATAGCAGAGTCTTTCTTATCTCAGTCTCTATTGAGATCTCTATCTCAGCCTTGGCCTCTCTGCCTCTTTATCACCTATACATGTCCTTATGGATATATGCGTTTCCAGATCACACCTGCACCACGACATTCTCTGGGTCTGGAACATGTCCTTCACCTCCTGTGCAGCCGACTAACTCCTATTTTTCCTTTAGTTTCCATCTTAGGGGCATGATTTTTGACATATGAATCTGGTTTTGGTGTCTTTCTCACGTTTTTATATCAGTGATGGCAAACCTTTTAGAGCTTTCAATGATACAAACAGCTCAGTGCAGCACGCCTGTGCCCTAGGTTTGCCACCACTGTGATCTATAGCGTCCGGCACTTCTTATCCCAGCATTGATTATACTATCCTGCGACTGCTGGCTTGTCTGTGCTTCTTTCCTTAGGTTGGAAGATCTACAAACGGAGCTCATCTTCTCACCGTAGCCTTCAGTTTCTCAGGCAAACCTTGGAATATTACAGAAGCTTGTTCCTATGTATTAAATGTTTGAATATGTGAGTGAATAAACACAGGAAAGGACATGCTGCATGCTCAGAATTTCCCTTCACTGAATTTGAAGTCATGTGCTCCATGAAGACAACTGAGACTACATCAGCACATCAAACCCTCCCGAGGTAAAATGTCAGTTTTGACTTTTGATATTTATGTCCAAGGTATAAAAATGTCTTCATTACAGCTTTCTCCTCTGGAATTGAGTGCATGGTATAAAGAAGGGGCTGAAATCTTCAACACAGCCTAAAGCCACTGGGACCTCTAAGGATCTGAAGAGAAATATAAGAGTGTACACTGTACTTTGGTTTGGAGGGCCAGAAGCGGGGTGGGAAGTCTCCTATTTCCTTGACTATAGAATTCACTTTTCCCTCCTTGCTTAGCATCTGATGGGGTAGTGTTCCAAGCACATGAAAGCAAGGTTGAGGGGCCTTTATATAATGAAAGGCATTTTAGTTGTGAGTGATCAGCAAGGGCTGAAATACAAGACATTTTACATACAGGAAGATATCAGCTTCCTGTCCAGCTGGGGTGGTGCCTGGTGAAGTATAGCGTTCGTGTGCACAGACTTGGGTGTGACATCCCATAGATGAAAGTTTGAGTCTCAGCCCTGCTATTAATACACCACGTGACTCTTGCCCAGGTACCTGACCTCTTTGAGCCTCGGGTATCTCATCTATGAAACAGGGATCCTCTTTGGACCACTGTGACAGGTAAAGTAGGGAATGCACATAACATGCTTAGAAATGCAAGCTACTCTTCTTCCTGGTATAACATGGGCCCTCTCTGCTTCACATACTAGGAAGGGAGAGATGCAGCATTCTACTATAGGACCATCTTTGCTGTGTCCAACGCTTGGGTGTTGGTTCAATCTTCAAGCATCAGTCTGTTGTTGCTAATATACCAATTTACTACAAATTTAGTGGCTTAAAAAAAATCTATTTATCATCTCAAAGTTGTATAGGCCAAAAATCTGGCACAGCATGGCTAGTTCTCTGCTCTGCATCTCACAGGCCGAATTAAAGTGTCAGCCAGGTTGAAATCTTTTCTGGAGCTCTGGGGATGAATCTACCTCGCAGCTCATTCGGGTCACTTGCAGAATTCTACTTCACATGGCTGTGAGACTTCTGTTGCTGATGGTTGGCTACAAGTCATTCTTAGCTTCTAAAGGCCATTCATACTTCCCGGTTTATAAATTCTTCTATCTTCCCCTTTCTGCTTTGGAATTTCTCTGACTTTCTGGTCCATCCACCTCATTCTCCACTTGTCCTATTCCCCTCTGCTTTTCTCTTCCACGTTTTCCCCCCTTGAGTACTAGGGATGGAACCCAGGGTCCCTGGAGTACTGAATGCATGTGCTTTCACGGAGGTACACCTCTCGCCTAATTTCTGCTGCACTTCAAAAGGCCAGTGTCATTGTACTGGGTCCACCTGGGCAGTCCAGGACACTCTGTCAGTGCTAACTCAGCTGACTGATAACCTTAATTCTACATGCAAAGTACTTGCATCTAGTGCCTGGATGGGTGTTTGGCTGAATAACCAGAAGAAGGAGCTCTGATAGAAAACATCTTTAGAATTCTGCCTACCAAAACCTCTTAATTGCATTTAAAAAACCTGAAACAAAACCTCTCCTAACACAGCACACTGATGTGTTTCATTTTGGTTACTTATGGAGCTGGCTTATCTGGGAACTTTTTAAAAAGTTTTTTCACAAAGAATGATCCTATCCACTTTTCTACAAATTGAAAGCTCTGTTCAGTGTGAAGCTTTTAATTCATTTATCAGGGAAATTCTCTGTATTTTTCTTTCTCCAACTTTCTGATCAATACTAATAAAATCTGCACCATTTAAAGATATTTAAATGTAAAGTTTTTATCTACAAAGCTTGATTCCATAATTCAAAATGTCAGGCAGCACAGTCAGAATATGGACGACTCTGGGGGAAATTCTAAATCAATTCAAACAGGACAGAAGAGACGGAAAAACTAGAGACGCAGGTCACAACGAATCTCCCAAATGGCACCCAATCCTACTCTCCTCAGTTTATCAAAACTATTTCACATAGAAAATTAAAATTCTAGGTCTCTGTTCTGCAGAAATACCTGCACACACGCCCAAAGATATATATGCAAAATTGTTCACTGCCATCATGTTTGTCATAGCAAAAAATGACAGGCTATCTATCTATCAACTATGAGTGGGCGAGTAAACATTGGCAGGGGAATTCTATGAAACACTTCTGCAGCTATGAGAAAGTAGTGAAATACATTGGAAAGTTTCCCAAGATGCCCTTTCAAGTGAAAAATGCAAAGCATAGAAATGTCTATATAATATGATACAATTCATGCTAAAGAAAATGTGTGGTAGTATATAGTTGTAATCCCAGCTACTCAGCAGGCGGAGGCAGAAAGTATGGAAGTTTAAGGCCAGCCCGAGCAACTTAGCCACATGTTGTATCAAAACTAAAAAAGAAGTGGAGGTAGAGCTTAATGGTTGAGCACTTGTCTAGTATACACACAGCCGTGGGCCCAATCTACAGAACCACACACATATACCCAAAATGTAAATATATATATGTCTGCAAATGCAAACAAAGAGCACAGCCACAAATTAGCTCGGGTATATCGCTTCTGGGGAAAAGTGTGGAATTGGAAGAAAGAGTGAAAGGAACATTTAGGTTTAAACTGTTTATCTCACTATGGTTTAAAAATTGTATAATGAGAAGTGAATAATGAAAATTACAGACTTGAGATGCTTGGATGAAAAATAATGTTGGATATACCATTCAGGGAAGGGGGTCATACAGTCTTTCTACAAGCAGGATTTGAAAACTGATGCTCTCTGAAAGTGTTTCAGAAATTAAAGCCTATGAAAGAACGAGATGAGTGTCCTCGGAGAACTTCATCTAAAAACCCCCTGCTTCCTCACAGAGGAAGAGCCCAGTCCTGCTGAGATGCTGGGTAAGAGAGGCTGTTTGTCCTTCATGACCTGGCACATAGTAGGTCCTCACTACATACTAGAGGCATAAAGCAAACAGCACCACTCATCTAGAGAAAGCATGGCTCTCCTTTGGTTCCGCCTTTGGTAAGTGAAACCAACCCTATTAAAATCATAGACATAAATACAGGATTCAACCGAATCTTAAAAATGGATGGATAGAAGGGAAATGGTTTCTATTACAGAGCACAGGCAAGGAAGATTTGGAATGCAGGCAATGTTGAGGTATTTAAAAACAGAACAAAACAAAGACGGCCCTGCAAAACCAGATCCGAAAAACCAGATCCTAACCATACGCAGCCTCCTGGGATAAACCTCTTACACTCCACATGCCAGACTAGCCAGTAAAGGAGAAGGGGCTCTGTGGAAGAGGAGCTGGTTTTCCATAGCTTTGTATCTTCACCAGTGGAATTCAGGGGCTGGAATAAATGAAAGCTAAGCTCTCCTCCAGCAAGAACCTCCAGGCAATCTGCAAGTGGCTGCTCTGGTGGCCCGGTATGGTTACAGGGGCTAGAGTCTGTTCTTTCAGCTTGAAAGGGAGAAAGCCTTGGGTTTGCCTGTCACAAGTCAGTGCAAACCTAAGCCCTGGCCCTCTTCTTCTCTGCAGATCACCTGTCAGGGGCTGAGCTGTAGAAGGCCTCCTTGTTGCCCTTGCCTTTTGGACCATTAGTTGAAAAGTAGGTGAAAATGTGAGGAAATGCCACCCGCAAGCTTCTCAGCATTTAACTTAGTACTGTTTGTGGCTCTGTAAAAACCTTTCTTACTTTTATAGTCATAACTTCGCTGTGGACTTCCTACTAGCAAGCGAGTGGCAAGTAAATAAATAAAGCAAACATAAGTATCCCACCGACTCACAGGGCTTGAAGCCTAGGAATGTAGGGAACCCCATTTCTCAAGCTGTAGGCATACTCTTCGCTGGTATGGGTTTGTTTCTGCCTGTAGCCAAGTTACATCTTGCAGTGTGAGTATCCTGTAAACCATGAGCTCATTTCTAAATTATACCAGATGCTCACCCATTAACTCGGCTCATGTATTCATCCAATTTTTTGTTTTTCTAGTGTACACCCTCACCAGTGAAAAGTGTGGTCCACACACCAGCAGCACTAACAGCATTTGAATATAAGGTTGCCAGAAGAAATGCATGACAGTCAAATTTATCCAGGTGTGCAATTTCCCCTACTTTCTCTTTAAGTCCAGCAGTTCTATCTGGGAACCTGTTAGACACGTACAATATTGGGGTCCACTGGGATCTGCAGGAATCAGAGCTTGCATTTAACAAGATTATGTGTGGCTGTAAAATCTACTTGACTCCTGCACTTTTAAAATTTTAGGTTCTGCTGGCAGATTCTGATCTCACTCTGCACCAAATGCAGATGAAAAGAATAATCTGTCAACAAGGTTGGTGTGTGTGTGTTTCCCCCGCTGGAGAGTTTTGCAATGCATTCTGTTTGCAGATATGCACATTTCTCAACCTGGGCACACAAGCTGCTCCCCCACCTTCAGCCGTAGATGAGCCAGAAGTGGCCCGGAGCCAGGAATCCCCATCACTGCCGAGGAGACGCCAGGCTGTGTTAATTGCTTGCTGGGTGGTGGGGAGGAGGGGCGGGGCTACATCCCTCCTTTGATCAGGAGGGAGAAGTAATGGTTTTACTTACATCCTGCTTTGTCTCTGCACAGGCCTAGAGCCCAGGATCCATTTCAGGCTCTCTCTTTCTTCCCAGTATTCTGTTACTGCCTACATACCACAGCCCAGGACTTCAGGGGGGAAACCAAATGCTCTTTGTGGTACACCCACATGACAGGCTTCAAAATGGAAACAATATTTAAGTTAAACCTGGAAGATCAAGTTTGCTCAAATCTCACAACATAGGGAGCTTTTGAAAACTTCAGCAGCAGGTCAGCGTTTGATGGGGAGAGGCACGCAGTGATGGAGAACCGAGGCCCTGTTAACAGGCACCAAATCCCTACATGGCAGTCAACATTTCTCCTTATTCCTTATAAATAATGGAGACAATCATAATGTATCCAGACAGAGCCCTGAGA